CTCTTTTGGTGGCATAAGCATACATGTACTACATGATGGCTACATCAAAATGTTTAGAGTTCAACGACAAGATGTACTAGACAATTTGCGTGGGCAGAAAAGCGCAGGCACATTATAATAAAAATCATTTCTTTCTCTGCTCTTTAGTCAAGAAATTGTCTGTGACACTCAAGCGCACCCGCACTTCAAGACCGAGTTTCGTCATGAAAGTTGACTTTGACACCTCCACCTCTAGACCAATTGGATTATAAATCCACAAGCATGAAGTTTCCAAATTAGTTTTCCAACTGCAATACGTGACATCATCACAGGCGTGTCTGACTTAGAACTTCGGCAGTCAACAGCGCAAAATCTACAGTTTCTTAAATGTTATATCTATGTCTATCTAAACTGTGTTCTTTGTTTATGTCTAAAATAGCGGAATGAATTGACCTGTGGCCACTGAAACTTTCACAGCGATGGGATAAAGTCCATTAAACGCAGGGTCACACTAGTCTTCAATGCATTCTTGTTATAAGAACCTAATATGTGCATGTACTGCCACATGAGATACTATGTTTTGAGACCTATATGCCCAGCTGACTGCTAGTACAAAAGTATTTCTGGATTGATCTGATGGACATTTGGATGTCCGTGATCTGAACTTGTTACAGGGGTGTCATGATACACAGAGTTCATTATATATAGGTGGCGTGTTCTCATGGAAATGGTATGTTTTAAGCAGGCACTGTAGGTTCATTACTAAATAAGACAATTACCCCAAGATTCACCGATATCTATATGGATGACTTGTAATCCCCATTTATTCACAATGCCAAGATAATAATCTAAAAGGAAAAAAAATATTTTCTGATTGATGGCCATTGGTGACCCAGACTTCCATATAGAATGTAAGCAGGTCATCACACATCAAGATGTAAAACAAAAATCAGTGTTAACATTGTTTGGTAAAGTTTTTAGATTTTACCATTTTGATTCTCTTTTTGATGACTATACATTCAAATGATATAGCTGTTGATTTTTGAGTACAAGTATACTAGCAAATGCTGTTGAAATATGTTAATGATTAAATGAAACGGGTTAGAATCCAAATGCTTTAAAAAAACCTTTAAGTACATGCACAGCTGTAAAATATATGTTATGACTACATTCAATCAGCAAAATAGATATACATTTGACATGTAATATACATGTAATAGACACATATTTAAAAACATCTTTAAAAACTTTTTTAAAACATGGCTTTTCATAATTATAGAATAGTTCTTTCACCTTGCTTCTCCTCATGTGGTCTACCGTTTTTTTTTTAAATATCCATTCAAGTATGTCATTATGCACATTTCCCATATAGCCTCTATCACTATCCTTATTACAACATTTTACATACTTGAAAGTATGTATGAATATTATTCATGTATCATCCATTGCACATACTGGTACATATTGTTACATACAACACAAAACTGTCCTCACAGTCATACAATACTTTTCCTGTTTCATATGTTATCTTTTTAAGCCAGTAAAATTTTACCATACAGAATACTTTACAATAGATTTTCTATCACTGTCCCTTGTTGGTTTCACACAGGAATATTTGTATGTCAGGAATAAAAATCTTGCTTGAAATACATGTATTAACAGTTTTCTCACACACCTCCAAATGCCAAGAGCAACAAGACCAACTAGAATTAAGTTAACCAGCAAAGCCAATTGAAAGGTAAAATTCCAGCACTGCAAGAGTAGGACATTTTGAATTTCTGAGCAGCTGTGTGTAGTTTTAGCATTTTTTGCAAAATATGTAACAAAATTCTGCCCAAAAATGGTGGAAGCATACATTTGCTTGGAGATGAAACCATTTCCAGCCCTATCTGTCCAGCTCCAGCTGTAGAATTTGGCCCCAGGTGTCGGCATCCATCTCGCACATGCACCTGTCAGGTATGTCCTCGTACGAGGAGGGATGACTGAAGAAGCCCAGTCTCCACTGCCGCTGGATCCCCGCTGCACCGTAGTTCCTCATCACAGCTGCCTACAGGACATTATAAACATTATCAGATATGTTTAGAGTTAGATGTTCAAGGTTCAAGGGTTGGGTGTAACAAGTCGTTTGGTGTAATGTAGCCAGCTGTTGCCACACCGTTTGCCTGCAAAGCTGGCATGTTATGCTAAAGGGCAGTTAGACTGGTTATACAGATACAGATTAACAATATTGTGGTTCTTGACCTCAATAATTTTTTTCTTTTCACATTTCCATGCTGAATGTAGGGTAATGCTTTCGGCTTATAACAATGATTTGCAAAAACAACATACGCTACATATTAAAATTATATATTATTATAGCACAAAATGTAGGATGAAAAACAGTGTATTGTCAAATATTTAGCCCACAACCATCAGCCAGAACAAGTATTTTTCTATAAATCATGACAAACTGTCTACATTGACCAATTGTGGAATACATAGTAATACATGTAACGTTACATGAATTACTATCTGCATATCGAGAACCTTTCAATGTTTTTCATCTCTAACATTATCCGGCTACCCCTACTGCATATATTTTGCAAAATATGGTTCTGGGTCCTACCCTCCATGGTAGTCCCTCTGCACGGTCCATCTCCACCAGTTTGGGGTCGATGTCCTGGCAGTTCTGACACACCTTCTTCCACAGCCAATCAGTGTCGCTGATGAACTCACTCCAGGAGGAACATGTCTGCGCAGCACGACACAGGCTGGGGATGTCTAGTCTCTGTCACAGGATAAAAAGAATTTCAAACAGAACATATTCACAACCATTTACCTCAATGTGTCTGTCCATGTTTTGCTTACCACACCTTAAAACATCATAGACATTCACAAAGCATAAAACGTTAGTGTGTACAAGCATAATGACTGTAATGGTGGACTGTAAACGGTATACTGCGCCTTCTCTAAAACTCACCTCCAAAACTGCCAGTCCCATTTCTGGGGGCAGGTAGGTGATGGCATCTAGACATGTGCCAGCAGCTGTGGTATCTGACACCTGCCCGGCCTTCACATGCACCATGACAGCAAGATATCTCACCTAGAGGAAGAAGTCACAACCTTGTTAAAGGTAAAACATTTCTTCCAACATAAAAGCTAAATGTTCTAACCCAGAGATTTCGGCCAGTCACTGTGGTCTTCCTCAATGCCAATAAGATCATTTCTTTTAGTTTATTAAAAATCTTGCATCTTGATGGAAGACTCTAGCAACGGCGGGCACTGCTACACGTTAGTCTTTTGGACACGCCCACATTTTCTCCCTTCCCGGGTGTTTTACATGTTTTTGACAATGTAACTAAGACGGTCAACTTCCCAATCTCTTGAGAGCAAAAAATAACGTTTCCACAAGTCGTGCTTAATACGCAACAAGATCGGAGTCAATGTTGGCAGCTGCTGTTGCAAATTATGTTGCCGAATGTCAGGTATCCGGCCCTCCCTTCGATGGGCCTTCGATCAACTTAGGAGCTTATCCACGTTAACTCCATGCTATGACTTACCATGCTTTACCATGCTTCATTGTATGACATAATGTCTGTTACAGCACGATATACTACCAATAGAAGTCGCCACCATGGCAAACAGCAGCCGAAATATTGTCAATTGTGGTTGTTGTTTTTCTTCGAGCAGACGCCATTTTTAAAGGTCCCGATTGAGTAAACAACCAGAGATTTCTACACCGTACATACATATCTGTGGCGCTATAACTTCACACAAACACACCTTTTGCTTGTTGTTAGCTCCTTGGTATTGTCGTCTTAAAGTAGGCTATCAATTTCTTAGATGTCATACATAAAACCTTGGAAACCCTCCGGTATGTTTACGTTGTCCCTGCAGCAGGAGGTATCGCAGGTCGTTATTTACGGCGGTCAGCCACGGTGAAGAGCCACGCTGCCATTGGTCAGCTATATAGGATGGTTCAGTGCGGTGTAGAATGGTGCCATTCTATTGGTTGACATAGTTGAACGACGGAAACACTGTAGTTTCACCCGTAGGTGACCTCAGCGATTTGTGCTGTCGGTTTTCCGGCTTTTATTTAGCCAGCGATACCTCGAAAGACCAGCGATACCTCCTTGTACAAGTAATATATGTACGGATGTTAGGTCTGGGGACAAGGTAAGACACTGTACAGGTTCGGCTCTTAGGTGTAGGGACAAGGAAAGAGCAGATTAAAGTTGTCCAAGCCGGGTAGGAGCTCTGCTCTAGTTTCTGCCGCTCTCCATGCTTCAGTTGACTGTACATGAAATGTATGCACGCACGTCTCTTAGGTCTACGAACCTGGTAAGGCACCATACAGGTAATATATGCACGCCTCTTAGGTCTAGGGACCAGGTAAGGCACCGTACAGGTAATATATGCACGTCTCTTGGGTCTAGGGACCAGGTAAGGCACCGTACAGGTAATATATGCGCGGCTCTTAGGTCTGTGTTCAGGTAAGGCACCGTACAGGTAATATATGCATCTAGGGACCAAGTAAGGCACCGTACAGGTAATATATATGCATCTAGGAACCAGGTAAGGCACCGTACAGGTAATATATGCACGTCTCTTAGTTCTGTGGCCAGGTAAGGCACTGTACAGGTAATATGTGCGTCTAGGATTCAGGTAAGGCACCGTACAGGTAATATATGCACGTCTCTTAGGTCTAGGGACCAGGTAAGGCACCGTACAGGTAATATATGCATGTCTCTTAGGTCTAGGGGCCAGGTAAGGCACCGTACAGGTAATATATGCACGTCTCTTAGGTCTAGGGACCAGGTAAGGCACCGTACAGGTAATATATGCGCGGCTCTTAGGTCTAGGGACCAGGTAAGGCACCGTACAGGTAATATATGCACGTCTCTTAGGTCTACGGGCCAGGTAAGGCACCATACAGGTAATCTGAGCATCTAGGAACCTGGTAAGGCACCGTACAGGTAATATATGCACGTCTCTTAGGTCTAGGGACCAGGTAAGGCACTGTACAGGTAATATATGCACGTCTCTTAGGTCTACAGGCCAGGTAAGGCACCGAATAGGTAATATATGCGCGGCTCTTAGGTCTGTGTTCAGGTAAGGCACCGTACAGGTAATA